TATATCTAAATCTGAACCGATTTTAACAAAACTTCGCAGACATCAGTCTGGACCTAATTAAGTACTCTGTGTAGAATTTTGTCCTAATCATTCGCATAGATTCGGACGAAACTATATATTAGAGCTATATCTAAATCTGAACCGATTTTAACAAAACTTCGCAGACACCAGTCTGGACCTAATTTTGTCCCAATTTGACAAAAATTGGGAGTTTGGGAGCTATTTCTAAATCTGAACCGATTCCAACAAAGCTTCGTATACATAAGTATAGACCTGATTCAGTGCGCTGTGCAAAATTTTGTCCCAATCGGACAAATATTGGGAGTTCGGTGCATCATTTACCTAAAATCGGACAAAACTATGTATGAGAGCTATATCTAAATCTAAAATGCGACCTGCATTTTGTTCACAAAAATACATAAACGGACAGATGGACGGACGGACGGACGGATTTTTGCCTGTTACAAACATATGCACAAAGACATAATATCCTGTACCACAGTGTGGTGAAGGGTATAAATATAATAAGTTTTTGGGTAGACGGCCTCGGGCGGGGATTTAAGACTTTCTCCTATGGACAGAAGATACTAACATCGGCTACAAATAGAATAGCTGTTGCTGTTGTTGTAGCAGCCCTATTGCTTTTACACAATGGGCTGAGGTGACAGACGTTGGCCGAGTAAGTCTGTTGGGTGATCGGCCTTCGGCCGAGGATTTTGAACTTTCTCCTATGGACAGATACCAACACCGGCTACGCCAAAGAATTTCCTTGTTTTTGTAGGGTAATAAAGCCCATATATTTTGATCCACAACAGATATAGTCACATATCGCACCATTTTCGAAAGGATAAATAAAAAATTAAGATATTTACTATATAAAATTGTATTGAGCAAAAGCCCCGATAAAATACATGTTTGTCTGTACATAGCCTGCATATTTATATGCATTAAAAATATTTGTACATCATAAAATACATAAAGGCTTTAGAAAATATTAATTAAAAAAAATGTGCCAATTTACATGCATAAAATTTTATGGAATTTATTTTTCAAACAATTTGAAATTGTAGATGGGTTACAAATTAAAAAGTGTTGCCATTATTAAGTTCTCAAATGATAATACCTTCCATAATTACACCCTGATCTACCATTATTAAAAACCAACTCTGTTGCTATTCTTTCGTGTCATTATAGTTTTGTAAAGCCCATTTTAAAGGCATGTTCTACGCAACATAGGGTTTCACAATAGTCTCTAGCATGGTGATATACGTTTAGGCATCCATGTTTCGCTATAGGGTATGAAGAACATCCCATTTATTTTCGCACCTCCATGGTTTAATGCGGTTAAAACATTTCGTCACTCGAACGCAGGCCAATGAACGAGCTCTTTTTCAAATTTTAATCTTTTGGTGGTTTGGGAGACCAAAATAATAGGAAAGATTCTATATCAGGGGAGAGAAAGAATAACATGAAAAATTCCCTTATAGTAAAGAAGTAGGAATTTTTTAATACTTCGAATCCGATCGTCTTCTGAAGATGTAACTCGAGTTAAAAGAGTACTTTGATTAAAACCGGTACTCTAAGTTATGGAATTATGTACATTTGCAGAAATTGATGTTTTGGTTTCACCCATATAGCGAACAATATCACACAAAAAATATCACAATTTGAAAGTGTTCTTTACACGGATTAAAGATGTTTATTTTAATATGGTTACGAGTCTTACAAATTCGTTTCTGTGGTTGCATTTTAATTTTTTTTTAGCTTTTCTGTCCCGACAACATTTGTTAACAAATGGTTCTTATTCGTCATGTTTCTATAAACAGGTGTCGTTTTGTGTGTTTTTTCTCCTCGATGTACTATAAATTTAAATTTTTATTGTATTTTATTTTTATTTATCTTAAACGATCCACTGTGTTATCGATTCAACCAATAACAAAAAAAATCAAACGAACAGCTTGTCATTGTTTGCATAAACATTAATCGCCGCTGTGAGTACTTAACACTCTCTCTACCACTTGAATCACACAAACAAGAATGAGTGCGGCTCTTTCTCTCTCCCTCTCGCTCTCACACACGCACTCACTACCGAACGACCGTTACAATTATGAGTAATTGAAAAATAAAGCCGAAAATAAAAATAAACCAAAACAATGCCGTTTCAAAAACTAAAAACGAGACGACGACGATCAAACAAAACAACAAGTTTGTCTGTAGTTGTTATTGTTGTAGTTTGGTTTCTTAAGAAGTCACAACAACAAAATGAAAATTTGAGAATGAAACAACAAAAAGAGTATTTGAGTCATATGATATAGGTTTTCTTTTCGGTTTACCTGTAAAATTCGACAGACAATAACAACAACAACAAGAATAGGGAGAGTAAATATTTGTGTACATGGATGGTTTGGGTGGAAGGTTTGACAAAGGAAGAAATTTGTTTTGAGGGGATAAATTGGATTTTTATTTTGAACATTAAAAAAAACGTTGAGACCTCAAAGGCCTCGGAATTTTTCTATAGAAAGAAGTCACAGATTTTTTTCCCAAAGAGAAAAAAATTGAGACCCCAAGGCCTTAGATTTTTCCCACAGAAAAATTTGGTATCCAATGATCTCAATTTTTTTTTTGTATAAAAAAATTGATAATCACGTGCCTCTGAATTTTTTTCTATAGAAAAAAATTGATACCCAGGGGTCTTTGCATTTTTATAGAAAAAAGTTGAAACCCAAGGGTCTCTATAGAAAAAAAGTTCAAACCCAAGGGTCTCAGAATTTTTTCTATAGAAAGAAGTTGAAACCCAAGAGTCTCAGATTTTTTTTCTATAGAAAAACAACATAATACCCAATGGTCTTGGAATATTTTCTATAGAAAAAACATTGAGATCCAAGGGTTTCAGAAAAAACCTTGAGACCCAAGGGTCCCTGAATTATTTCTATAGAAAAAAAATTTTCCCAAGGGTTTCCGAATTATTTCTATAGAAAGAAGTTGATACCCAGGGGTCTCAGATTTTTTTTCTATAGAAAAAAAGTTGATATTCAAGGGTCCCACATTTTTTTCTATAGTAAAAAGTTGATACCCAAAAAAGTTGATACCCAAAAAAGTTGATACCCAAAAAAGTTGATACCCAAGGGTCTCAGATTTTTTTCTATAGAAAACAGTTGATACCCATTGGACTCAGATTTTTTTCTATAGAAAAAAGTTGATATCCAAGGGTCTCAGATTTTTTTCTATAGAAAAAAGTTGATACCCAAGGGTTTCAGATTTTTTCTATAGAAAAAAGTTGATACCCAAGGGTCTCAGATTTTTTTCTATAGAAAAAAGTTGATACCCATTTGAACATTAAAAAAACGTTGAGACCTCAAAGGCCTCGGAATTTTTCTATAGAAAGAAGTCACAGATTTTTTTCCCAAAGTGAAAAAAATTCAGACCCCAAGGCCTTAGATTTTTCCCACAGAAAAATTTGGTATCCAATGATCTCAGATTTTTTTTTGTATAAAAAAAATTGATAATCACGTGCCTCTGAATTTTTTTCTATAGAAAAAAATTGATACCCAGGGGTCTTTGCATTTTTTTATAGAAAAAAGTTGAAACCCAATGGTCTCAGAAGGGTCTCTATAGAAAAAATGTTCAAACCCAAGGGTCTCAGAATTTTTTCTATAGAAAGAAGTTGAAACCCAAGAGTCTAAAATTTTTTTTGTATAGAAAAACAACATAATACCCAATGGTCTTGGAATATTTTCTATAGAAAAAACATTGAGACCCCAGGGTTTCAGAAAAAACCTTGAGACCCAAGGGTCCCTGAATTATTTCTATAGAAAAAAATTATTCCCAAGGGTTTCCGAATTATTTCTATAGAAAGAAGTTGATACCCAGGGGTCTCAGATTTTTTTTCTATAGAAAAAAAGTTGATACCCAGGGGTCTCAGATTTTTTTCTATAGAAAAAAGTTGATACCCAGGGGTCTCAGATTTTTTTCTATAGAAAAAAGTTGATACCCAGAGGTCTCAGATTTTTTTCTATAGAAAAAAGTTGATACCCAAGGGTTTCAGATTTTTTCTATAGGAAAAAGTTGATACCCAAGGGTTTCAGATTTTTTCTATAGAAAAAAGTTGATACCCAAGGGTCTCAGATTTTTTTTCTATAGAAACAAGTTGATACCCAGGGGTCTCTTAGATTTTTTTCTATAGAAAAAAGTTGATATCAGGGGGTCTCAGATTTTTTTTATAGAAAAAAGTTGATACCCCGGGGTCTCAGATTTTTTTCTAATTTATAAATCTTTTTTGTTTTAATCTTAAAAATATAAAAATAATTAAAACCTTAATTTAAATATTTAATTTTTTGTAATTATTTCCTCTTTTTATTTTTTCAGAATTTTCTTCGTCAACAAATTTGTGTTGTATTGTGTGCATAAAATTTTGAAGAAAAATTTAACAACAACCACAACAAAAGAAGTTGCAGTTTTTGTGCTATTACAAAAAAACAAAACCAAACCGGCCGAACAACAGCAACACAAGAACAAGAAACTTGTTTTCTTCTTCTCCATACCGTGTGCTCTCTATCTCTCTCTGGTCTTCATTACTAAACATAACCTGCCTATCTCTCTCTCACACTTGCTCTCTTGGTTTCTTGTTGTCATCAGTTTACCACAACAAAAACAACAACTGGCAAATAACCCGTTGCTGCTACTGCTGCTGTGTCAGTGAAATAAAAGGAGTTCAACGAAACCGGAAATACCCTTGAATTGAAAATAATAAAAAAAAACAACAACAGCTACGTTCGTCGTTCATCAATTCAAATAATAAACGAACGAAAGTTTTGTTTTTTTTTCGTTCATTGTTTGCAAGTTGGAAATCCTTTGTCTTTTAGAAAAAAAAGAAAATATTAAATTAAAGTTATTGTGAAATCGAGAATAATTTTACCAACAAATTGTGTAAATCGACCAGTCCAAACGAAAAAAGAGAGTTTTAAGTATTTTTTTAGCTGGCTAAAAAAATCATCGTGGAACCACTTTCATTTTGACATTCGTATGTTTTAAACAATTATGTCATGGGATCTTGTACAAGACGACACTTTTTACTGTCAACATGCTTTCTTCAAATGGTAAGTGCTGCACTTTTATTTTTCCACTTATTTAGCGAATTGATTTTGTTTTTAATATAAAAAATGTTGAATGATTCATAGATATTAAATCGTTATCTATGACGTATAATACTTATATTATTTGTTTATAAAATTGAATAATACAATTTCTTGGAAAGAAAGAGTCATACCATAATGAGAGGCTCATTTTTGCTCTAGAAAAAAATTCTGAGACCCTTGGGTATCGACTTTTTTCTATAGAAAAAATTGTGAGACCCCTGGGCATCAAATTTTTTCTATATAAATAAATCTGAGACATTTGGGTATCAACTTTTTTCTATAGAAAAAAATCTGAGACCCTTGGGTATCAATTTTTTTATAGAAGTAAATCTGAGACCCTTAAAAACATTTTGAAACCCTTTTATAAAAAAATTTGACACCTTTGGGTATCGACTTTTTTTTATAAAAAAAAATTTGACACCTTTGGGTATCGACTTTTTTTATAAAAAAAAAATTTTGACACCTTTGGGTATCGACTTTTTTTATAGAAAAAAATTCCGTGACCCTTGGGTATCGATTTTTTTCTATAGAAAAAATTCCGAGACCCTTGGGTATCGATTTTTTTCTATAGAAAAAATTCCGAGACCCTTGGGTATCGATTTTTTTCTATAGAAAAAATTCCGAGACCCATGGGTATCGATTTTTTTCTATAGAAAAAATTCCGAGACCCTTGGGTATCGATTTTTTTCTTTAGAAAAAATTCCGAGACCCTTGGGTATCGATTTTTTTCTTTAGAAAAAATTCCGAGACCCTTGGGTATCGATTTTTTTCTATAGAAAAAATTCCGAGACCCTTTGGTATCGATTTTTTTCTATAGAAAAAATTCCGAGACCCTTTGGTATCGATTTTTTTCTATAGAAAAAATTCCGAGACCCTTGGGTATCGATTTTTTTCTATAGAAATAATTCCGAGACCCTTGGTATCGACATTTTTTTTATAAAAAAAATTCCGAGACCCTTGGGTATCGACATTTTTTCTATAGAAAAAATTCCGAGACCCTTGGGTATCGACATTTTTTCTATAGAAAAAATTCCGAGACCCTTGGGTATCGACATTTTTTCTATAGAAAAAATTCCGAGACCCTATAAAAAATGTTGAATGATTCATAGATATTAAATCGTTATCTATGACGTATAATACTTATATTATTTGTTTATAAAATTGAATAATACAATTTCTTGGAAAGAAAGAGTCATACCATAATGAGAGGCTCATTTTTGCTCTAGAAAAAAATTCTGAGACCCTTGGGTATCGACTTTTTTCTATAGAAAAAATTCCGAGACCCTTGGGTATCGACTTTTTTCTATAGAAAAAATTCCGAGAACCTTGGGTATCGACTTTTTTCTATAGAAAAAATTCCGAGACCCTTGGGTATCGACTTTTTTCTATAACAAAATCCCGAGACCCTTGGGTATCGACTTTTTTCTATAGAAAAAATTCTGAGACCCTTGGGTATCGAGTTTTTTCAATAGAAAAAATTCCGTGACCCTTGGGTATCGAGTTTTTTTCAATAGGAAAAAATTCTAAGGGTTTTAATTTTTTCTATAGAAATGAGTGAGGAAGAATGAGTTTTGCATTCATTATCATTTCCTCCAAAAAAGTAACGATTTTCTGGATGTATGTCTGGTTTTTGGTCTTTTGTTGTATGACATAAATTAATTGATTAATTAACAAACATATTCCGTATTAAAAAAAAAAAAAAACGATGCCATCATACACCCTGAAATATAAATAATTAAAATATGTTTTTGATTGTCCTCTGTTTGAAAAAAAAAAATCCTTTTATGGATGGCTCACGTACACCTTGTGGCTATGTGACGATGAATGTGGTGTTTGGAACACAAAGGCAAGGGCTTTATCTGGAGGTTCTTCTACTGGCTGTATGTCTGTCGAATTGTTTGTCTGCCTGTATGGCTGGATGGCTACTTTGCAGCATAGAAATGAGTGTTTTGTTTGATTTTCTTTGTTAAAAGAGAAGAGAGAATACAACATACATACAAACATATATGATGCAATAATGTATTGGAATATTTATTATTTCCATGGAAAACAACAACAACAATTATTATTGGGAAAAAATATGAAATAAATGCAGTCAATTAATATGAAAAGCCAAAGTGGAGGACAAATGGGAATATATTTTTTTTTAATAAAAATGGCCTTTAAGGCCATTCAAAGGCAGATCCGATTTCTGGTGAGCCAATGGTCAATGAAAAAGGGCTGAGGAGTTCCACTTTTATAGCAAAGGCAGATATGTATCCGAATTTACTCTTAATATTAATTTTTCAATTAAATTTTAAATTTTATCGGAAAAAAATCTAAAATTTATTTCAAAAAATGTTGTTAAATTTAATCCAATTTTCTAAACTAGTTCGCCACATCACCCAAGGCTTATGCAAACGTTTTTTCGCTCGTTTGTTCGTCTGCATACTATCATCATGTACCCAGTACTTCATCTCCTTTCTCCTGCTTTTTTGCTCTTAAGTGGAACCAGTTGTTTTTTGTTCACTTTTTCGGTGCTTCTTCCTCCATATCCAATCTCGTTTAACACTCCATATGGTAGTGAAATACACCCTAAAATGGAATGCGGACAATTGAATTGAAGCACTGAAGCAGCACTGACTGTGCAAAGCCATTGAGGAATAAGGACAATAACGAAATGAAAGTTCAGCCAAAGCGGAAAAAAAAACCCCGACTGCAGTAGGTCACAGGCAAAACACAACAAAAAAGTAGAAGATATGCAGAAAAAAAAAACAAAAAAACATTGATACATGAAGACATACAAAGCAGAAGTTAAGTAATACGAGAAACAGATAAAAAGGCTTTTAATGGAGCACGAAACAAAAAAAAATGTTGGAATACAGACACATTGGCTTTCAGGATGTTGTTCATGCTTCAAATAGATAGAAAACTTCTAAGACCCTTGGGCATCAACTTTTTTCTATAGAAAAAATTCTGAGACCCTTGGTGTCTCAACTTTTTTCTATAGAAAAAAATTCTGAGACCCTTGGGGGCTTAACTTTTTTCTATAGAAAAAATTTTGAGACCCTTGGGGTATCGACTTTTTTCTATAGAAAAGATTCCGAGACCTTGGGGACTCAACTTTTTTTTCTATAGAAAAAATTCTGAGAACCTTGGGTATCAACTTTTTTCTGTAGAAAAAATTCTCAGACCATCAACTTTTTTCTATAGAAAAAATACCGAGACCCTTGGGTATCAACTTTTTTCTGTAGAAAAAATTCCGAGACCCTTGGGTATCAACTTTTTGGTATCAATTTTTTCTTTAGCAAAAATTCTGAGACCCTTGGTGTCTCAACTTTTTTCTATAGAAAAAAATCGGAGACCCTTGGGTATCAACTTTTTTTCTATAGGAAAAATTCTGAGACCCTTGGTGCTTCAACTTTTTTCTATAAAAAAATTCTGAGACCCTTTGGTGTCTCAAAAAAATTCTGAGACCCTTGGTGTCTCAACTTTTTTCTATAGAAAAAATTCTGAGACCCTTGGTGTCTCAACATTTTTCTATAGAAAAAATTCTGAGACCCTTGGTGTCTCAACTTTTTTCTATAGAAAAAATTCTGAGACCCTTGGTGTCTCAACTTTTTTCTATAGAAAAAATTCTGAGACCCTTGGTGTCTCAACTTTTTTCTATAGAAAAAATTCTGATACCCTTGGTGTCTCAACTTTTTTCTATAGAAAAAATTCTGAGACCCTTGGTGTCTCAACTTTTTTCTATAGAAAAAATTCTGAGACCCTTGGTGTCTCAACTTTTTTCTATAGAAAAAATTCTGAGACCCTTGGTGTCTCAACTTTTTTCTATAGAAAAAATTCTGAGACCCTTGTTGTCTCAACTTTTTTCTATAGAAAAAATTCTGAGACCCTTGGTGTCTCAACTTTTTTCTATAGAAAAAATTCTGAGACCCTTGGGGACTCAACTTTTTTCAAAAAAAACATTCTGGGTCCCTTTGCTATCAATTCTTTTTCTATAGAAAAAAATCTGAGACCATTGGAAAACAACTTTTTTTATAGAAAAAATTCTGAGACCCTTTGGGGACTCAACTTTTTTCTATAGAAAAAATTCTGGGACCCTTGTTGTCCCAACTTTTTTCAAAACAAAAAAAAAATCTGAGACCCTTGGTGTCTCAACTTTTTTCTATAGAAAAAATTCTGAGAACCTTGGTGTCTCAACTTTTTTCTATAGAACAAATTCTGAGACCCTTGGGTATCAACTTTTTTCTGGGTCTTTACTTTTTTCTATAACAAATTTAAGACCACTGGGTCTCAACCTTTTCTTGTAAAAAAATAGAGATCTCTGCGTGTAAACTATTTTCATAGAACAATTCTGATTTTTGTTACTTCGAAGATATAATCCGACGCTAATAGAAAAAACGTGCCAAGATCATTCAAATCGGATTTTATTAAACCCCCAACAAATGCTACGCAATTTATACCGAACACACAACAATTGTGTATGGCCAATGGCCGTAAATCAACTGTGACCGCACCTTCACCCATTTAGCACTGAGGTGTTAAAAAATTCGTCAATTCGTGTTGGTGTTAATGTGTGAAAACTCAGGCGCACAAAATACGCCTAACTAAAATTATAGCATGACAGTGTAGGTGAACATTTCAGGGGGTAACTAATTATAGATTGTCCATAGATTGTTACCTTAATCAGTTCTGGGCAAAAAGCGAAAAACTCCATGGAATAATAATCCGAATTTATTCGACATATGCCGAACATTGGACTACCAATCGATTGGTTTTTTTCGTTCCAAGTTCTGTCATTATTTCCATGGATTTTACTGGATTAGAATTGGAATTTCAAATCGAAATACAATCTTACCTATTTTCCTCGATTTTTCCATTGGAAAAAGGGGTCGAATAAACACGCCGACAGCTGATGAAACATACGTAATTCCAACTTAGCCCAAAAGCTTAGCGGCGAGAATATTGTTGCAGTT